TGCTCCAGCCGAAACCCTTAGTAGTAGTAGTAGTAGTAGTTGTAGTAGTAGTAGTAGTAGTAGTAGTAGTCGTAGCAGCAGTAGCAGTAGCAGTAGCAGCAGCAGCAGCAGCAACAGCAGCAGCAGGAGTAGTAGTAGTAGTAGTAGCAGCAGCAGCAGTAGTAGTAGTAGTAGTCGTCGTAGTAGTAGTAGTCGTCGTCGTCGTCGTAGTAGTAATAGTAGTAGTAGTCGTCGTCGTCACATCTGGGGCATAGTTCTTCGAAGTAAGGGCTCGGGGTCTTCCTACTATGTACGACTTCAGGTCGAGGGGTTAGCTTGCAGAGGTGCAGGATTTCATCCAGACCATGAGCCTGGCCATGCAAGCCAAGAGCTGCACCACCTGTGTCCACGAGGCGACCTTGCAGGGAACCTAGTGAGCTTCGTCAGATCCAGATTTTTTGTTGGGGATGCGGGGGGGGGTGTGTGCCATGTACTGCTTAGCGGCTTAGCAAGCCCGCAGCCTGTTAGGACAAGTTCTGCAGTAGGGTTGTTTGTAAGGGGTCGAAAACCCTCAGCCCGACGAAAGCGCACAGCTTCCTCTCAAAGAAGTTTGGCCACATGGATTCCGCCTTGTTCAACAGCTAGTCGCACCAGGGTCTGCTTAAATTGTGCTCGTGCTGGCCGCAACGAGGGCTAGCGGCTTGAGAACCTAACGTGTGCCACCACCTTGGACAGGCTATGATCACAAACATCAGGACAAACACTGTACCAATGCCCTTCTTCCCTTCAACCTCTTCCTCCTCCTCACCTCATCACACTTCTAGCCATCACAATCCACGCAAGATACCGGCATCATGGCAATAAACAAATCATCATGACCCTCCCCATCTCCTCCTCTTCCTCTTCGAGAGCTCTACCAGGTAGCCTAAGCTTGCTATAGCAACTTGGAGTTTACGGCCCATAAGCTCTTCTCGCCAAACTTACAGTAAGCCCCAGAAAGCTTCAACATGGAGGCAATATGATTCTCTCTCGCCTTGCTCTTGGTGCTTGAACTTCGTGGCACTGACTCAAATCCCTGTGCCGCAACATCTCAGATGCACCCCTAGGGCCCTAGGTTTGAGGTTCCTTGGGTACAGGCCGTCAGGGCCGCTGTGAAGGAGACCTCTGTGAGCAAAATATCCTTCTGCCTGGCGGTAAGATGTTGGGATGTCGGGTCAACAGCCCTACATTCAGCTTTGAGCGGCACTCCTTTCAGGCCCTGCGGTTGAGGGCTGTACCCCACCTAATTAACGCCTTTTCATTGCATACTCTTTTGTTCTCATGTTCAAGGCCTAGGCACTTGTTGCGACGGCTACTAAGTACTACTGCTGTTGCTGATCGGCTCGTGTGGGACTTCGGCAGGCTTCAAGTCGCTTCTTGTATTGAGCTTTGTGTCCCTGTCGTGTCAACTATGTTTGATGCAGGCTTTTTCGAACTCCACCCTTGGCTTGTAGTCTGGTCTCATCAATTCCGTGGTGTAGGCTTGGCATGAGATATGCCGTCCGACCACTTAGTAAGAAGAGGCCATATTGCAGCCTGGGCCCAGGACCCCGTGCCGAAGACTTTAGTAGGCAAGCCCCGGCCCGAAACGAAAGGTGGAGGGTGCTCCGCCGACTCGTTGTGGCATTCCTCGCAGAATCCCCACCTGCGCGATGTGCTTTCTGCCCGACTGAATCGCTAGGCCGGCGTGGAGCAGGCGGTGCTCGAAGACCAGGGCATAGCCCTCAGGCAGCTCCACATCCACAGCCGTGTCGTCGTAACTCCCCGAGGGCCAGAGTCGTGTAGCCCCTCCCTCGAGATCCGAGCGACTGCTCAGCGAAATCAGCAAAGTGTGACTCGAGTCGTACCGTTCCTTGCCGTCTCCGGCTTGTACAGTCAGGCAGTCAGCCTGATCATAGTGAGCTGCAAAGTAGTCGCCGGCATCGTAACGTGCTAGCCGCCAGTTGGGATGGATGCCGCGCACCGAGGTGTGGGGCTTGGTCTCTTCGAGGGTGTCGAGAAGAGACTCTGGCAAACGATTTGCGATGAATCCTGCGAGTTCGGGGTTGCAGTAGTTGGCAGTTCGCTTGCTGGTACGAAGCCCAGCGACTCCAGCAGCTGCATTCGGAGGCTCAAGTCCGAACTGCTCCCCCAAGCGGATAAGGTCTGCACACTCTGCGATGCTGAGCAGCTGAGGAACAACCCAGGCCCGCCCAGGGATGACGGTCGTAATCCCGTCACAGGAAATCGCCTCACCACGTCCCCCCACTACTTGGGGCACAGGTGCTGCCACATGCTGCCAGTATGCCCTTTGCAGCTGCTCTTTGCTTCGTGGAGACAGCGGCTTGGGGAGCTTGATGCACATGGGCTTCGGCGCACTCGGAGGAACCGGTGGTGATGGCCTGGGCTGAAGCAATGCCACTGCGAGCGCCGAGTCCTGAGCAAGGGGCCGCTCGAGATCTGCCACAAGGGCCAACTTCCGCTCTGCAGAAGCAATCATCCTTGGGTCCTCGTGGTAGTCGACAGCCGGCATTGCAAGTTACCGGTTACCTTTTATGCTGTACAGGTCTGGCAACCGAAGCGGATTGGTCCAAAATTCTCAACTCCAATGCCATGCCAAGCCTAAGCCACGCAAGCTTCAGTATTCGCACTCCTGGCATCGCGTGGAGACTGTGAAACGTAAAACTATGGGACCTCTACTATGATCGCATCAAACAACTTCACCCATGTCACGGCACGCTGGAACGCTTTGCGTGATCTCGATCAGATCCCCAAGCCTCTTGACTTCAGTGACTTTACTGTTCATGGTCTTTACTTAGAGGGCTTCTAAACTTCTAAAAGTGTTTGAAACCTAAAGCTTCAAAGCTGGTTAGGGTCAGGGACAAAGCAGCCATGACCCAAACAATGCCAGGGAGACACAACTTCTGAGAGAAGACTGGAAATTTGGTCGCTCCTGCACTCAGCAGATCAAGCCCCAGAGGCGCTCAAAGCACTGTGCAGCACAAGCACAGACTTCCTTGCACCCGGACCTGTACCCGAAACCATCCACACAAGCCAAAAGACATACACCTCGTACCCTACAAGGGGCTTGCAGGGCGAAGAAATTGACATGCGTGGATTCTATAACTTGTCGCCCCTATTAAGATACAGCTGGCTAGAGTGTTGCTTTGCAGCAAAACCCCAATGAACAGCATCTCCTTCATGAACCTTTTCAGTTGTGCACTGTGCAGGAAGCTTCCCTGCCATGTCGAAAACTCAAAACAGTTCGCTCCAGATTACAATGCCTTTCGCGCCTTTTTTACTGTACAATGCCAGCCTCACCACGGAATTTCTTGCAATACCATCAACGCCCCACAATTCAACCCCTGCACCACAAAGGAGACTTCTACTCTTGTTTTCATCGAAAGCTTCCGGCAGCGGAGAATGAAGCACACGTGCGTGTTGATGCTCCCGCCGAGCCAGGGAAACAACAGATAGGGTAAACATATAGGGTAAGTATCACTCTCCAGTCGGTAGCAGACAGAATTAATTATTGCACCCCATCGACTCCGCCATGCCCGCGTCGAGCTACGGAACAATCTTGTATCGCAGTCACATTGACTCCCTTTCATGTCTCAATCCCTGGTTTCGGAAGTAAGACTTGCAGTAGGGTTCGACACTGTCCATGGCCATGGGCATGATCATGCCTCCGCCCCCCCCAACCCCCAGGTGACACCATCAGATAAAAGGCCATCAGCACAAATCTATCTTAGATAGTGAGTAGAAGCTCGCAAACAGCAGCACAAAGCTATGCTTGATAGTGCTTTCCCGAAAACATCAGCATTGAGCTATTGTGGTGCGAAAACATCCGCACAAAGCAATATTTGATAGTGATTTGAGGTCCGAAAACACGAAGTCGAAAAAAACACAGCACAAGACCAAGTTTACAACTTATTTGAGAAAACGTCCGTGATGTGAGCATATTCCCTCTCCCGCTCCCCCACCTATACTGTAAGTCACTGTAAAGTCTTACAGTGTAGGTGCAAGGTCAGTCAGCCACAGGCAGCCATATTCTGCAGTTGTCTCTTCGTACATGTAGTGTGCCCGCTGCACATTATGCCCCAAGCCAGTATACCATGGGGCAACTACATCCCACTGTCTGTGCAAAGGTGGAACGAGACAACTAAACACAAGTTCATGCTTGCAAATGCTGTGCTGCAATACGGGCGCCACGTAAGTATCACTACCTCATGAAATACCTCAGTACTTGGACCATCGCATGTCACTGCGCAGCATAGGACGAATTCTTGCTGTGCTGTGTCACAGAACCTTTTCTCTTCCGGCTTAGCGTTGCTAAACATAGTTGCGAGCCCTCGCCTGCGAGCTCTCCCATAAGCTGTCAGCGCCGTGCCGTATGACACCTCACTTCAAGATTAGAGACGAAGGATGCAGCGATTGAGGGTCTGAAGGCTGGTGGTGGGGTGAGTGAAACCACACCATGGTATGGCAGATGCCAAGCAAACTTTTCGCTTCTCGCTATCATTGGAAGTAAATCCGCTGGTCTAAGCTCGGACCCTAACTCCTTAGCCGCTTAGCCTCGGTTTTGCTCAACGTCGATTCTGATGGACCCCAGAACAAGCGAAACTGCACACAGCCTTTGCAGCGGAATTGACCCAATCGTAACCACAGAACCAGTCCTGAAAGTTTTGAAACTTCGACCAAGTTCGCAATCAAAACCCTAGACCGCAAATCCCAGCCCCAGACTCATAAAGCCTTAAAGCCGAAACGACGCACCCTACTGCTTCCCTATAATTGCACAACCCTTCTTTCCCCAAACGCCTCTGACCCGTTATGAGACCTATGAACCCATAGACCCAAAAACTCTCCTCTCACGTTCCAGGTTTCCCCGCAGCATCCTGGCCCTCGCCCAAGCCGGCCCTCAGCGCGTCCATCACCAACAACCTTCGAGGGATTCGGTACTGTACCATACCGTGCTGTGCTACACTTCGCTAGACTACACCACTCTCTGCTAATGGTGTCTTGGGGCTCTGGGTCTTGAGGATCGGCGGGTTACATTGATAGGCATGGATAGGTCTACTTTCAGAATAGAGATACCGAATGTACATACATTCCTCTGAATCCCAGAAAACGCAACCACTGCCGACGTTTGTGCTTGGTTTGCGCTCGTTTGTCAGTGAAGACTCGGGCGAATAGTGCCCGAGGATGAACATATCTGTGGTTTAGAAATGTTCAAATGCGGCTAGTGTCATGCCTGCACAGACATCCATGTGTGTTTCTCTGAAGCCGCTTAGCACCAATCCCCAAAACGGCACTGCTAGGGCCGCCAACACAATGTGCCAAGCGCCGCCTTGACCTTGGTCGGGGTTTGGGTGAACATGGTGGCTATTCTGAATTAGGGCTCGCTTCAAGTGTCTTACTACAACAGAAGTACCGACGCCCCCAAATGGAGTCTAGTGTCGAACCACCTTGCGACATTGGGACCAAGTACTGTGCATGCGGTTGTCGCTCGAGCATGTCACAGTCTAACTCACTGTAATCCGGCAAAACACACACATGCACAAAAAACACACACGCACAAAAAACACACACACACACAAACACACACACACACAAACACAAACACACAAACAAACACACACACACACAAAAACACACACACACACATACAAAAAAACAAACACACACACACACACACGCACACACAGACACACAAACACAATCACAAACACGCAAACACAAAAACACACACACGCACTCGCACACGCACACGCGAACACACACGCACAAACACACAAACATAAATACAAACACACAAACACAAACACACAAACACAAACAAAAACACACAAACACACACACACACACCCACACCCACACGCACATGCACATGCACACACACAGACAAACACAAACACAAACAAAAACACACAAACACACACACACACACACCCACACACACACACAGACACAGACACACACACACACACACAGGGACACACACACACAGGCACACACACACACAACCACACGCACACACACACACACA